AGACAAGTTCTCAGCTGACAAAGATATGTATGATTAGCATGTGGATGTGAGAAGCATGACTCATGGGAAGCTTGAAACTGTCCAATGGAAACAAAGCATGCTACGCTCCGTGTGTTAAGAATAAGCAAATTTAGGGGGACCAGAACAGGCCACTTTAAATCAGACAATTATATGATATGCTACTATTTGAGACATGGAAACATCCAAAGGAATGGAGTGGCTGTGATAAACAGCAGAGACGTGTGCTTGGCTATAACCCAGTGACAGGATCGTATCTTTGGAATTAGTGGATTCTGTGTATAATATAATATATATGTATGTACTGTGGAGTCCTTAGTATCTAGAACAGACATTGCACTACTAAAAGGCAACTGGAAGGCGAAAATCCTATAATAAAGTTCAGAATAGTGAAAGGCATTATTTTCTACTGTAAGACCATTGGAAGACCTGAAAGAGCAGGTTGGGGACAGACTGTCCTGGAGAAAATCTCCCCATGTGGTCGCTAAGAGTCGACACCAACTTGATGGCACATCCTTAGTCAGTCAGTATTCTGTACAAGCTGGGCCCTGAGAAAGAAGACAGCTGCTTTCCAGTTATGAAGACGGTCAGAAAGGATATCAAAAGATCATTGCGGGAAGAAATAAAGTGTGGGGGCTTTTTGAGGGGAGAGTTTGCAACAGACTTTGGGCGTGTTACACGAGTGGAAGGCAGACTAAAGATAAGAATGCTTGTCTGCAGGGTGGAGTCAAAAGTGGCCACTATGGTGCCATCAAAGCTCTGCCCGCTTTTTATGTGTGTCATGGCAGAGCTTTGATGGCATCATTGTGGCTGCCATCTTTACCTCTTTGACCACACCCTGCAGACCCCTGTAAGGGGCATAGAAGAAGGAGAAGGAGGGATGGGCTCAAGAAGATCACAAGACTGTCCTATGGATGGTTACTCAAGACAGGTCAAGATGGTGGGTACCTGTCTGTAGAGTTATCAGGGCTTTCCCTCAACTCTTGGGCATCAAACTAACCACACATATGGAGGGCACCATCCTAGGAAAGGCTGGATGGACCGTTCCCAGATGTTGAGGAAGAAATTAGCAGAACCTCCTCTCCTGCACTGATTTCTACAGGCTTTGCTCCCCCAACCTCTTTGCTAACAAGCCAAAATACCACCCATGGTCACTTTTTTAAGTAATGGGAGGCAGCTCTCTCCCCACAGGTGTCTTCCCGACTACAAATCCCATCTTCCCCAGACAAAATAGAAGCGATGGGTGCTATAAGTCCAGAGTGAAGTGGCGCTGATTTCCCCTTGACCCTAGCCGTGCTCGGTCCATGCTGATGTGGCTCACAGGTTGCATCAAGAAGCACTTGATTCAGCTCTGGCTTGTTGAATAAATGCTGGGACTGAATTTGCAGGAGGTGCGAAGCCCAACCTGAGCTGAACACGTTGTGGGATGTTCCCTAAGCCTTGGGATCTTGGGCAACTGGGGCCCTTGTGTAGCCGCAGAAGCAATAGCTGCGCAGGTTCCTCGCTGGCCCTAGCAAGGGCTGTCCAAGCCCTGGTCTTGCTCCTGTGATGGGGTTTGGTGGCCGCCCCACAGCTGTTCAGCTGCGCCCCGGCAGCCGTCTGGGGCAGCGAGGTGGCTGGGGGAAGAGGGCTGTCAACATGCCCGCCTGGCCATCGACTGACGTCTCCCTTGCTTCCTGCCAGGCCTGTGACTCCATTCCCCAGGCGGAGGAGCCTTGCGAATCCGTCCAGCTTCGCCAGCCCTTCCCGGTGCACCACACAGGTGGCTTCGCTCCACACTGGGTACCAGGACTGTGTCCTTGCTTGCCTCTCAGCCTCTGTCTCCTCTTGCTCGCTCTCTCTCCGTCTTGGAAAGGAGGGTCCTGCTCTGTGCCCAAAGCCAGGGTGGTCCAAGCATGTGGTGGAAAAAGTCAAGAGGGTGGCCCTGATGGTGCAATTGGAGCTCTGCCTATGTTTGATGTGCCACACAGAGCTTCAGTCGCCCTCTTGCAGCCGCGCTCTTGCCTTTTTTGGCTACATTCTGCAGGCACCCCTGGCCAGAGCCAAGTTACTGGTCTTGGCATCTCCTGGGCATTCGTCTGCTCCCTCCCCCTCCTCCCTTCCCAGAGGCCCCTTTGGGCCCTCACAACATGTAGGTGTTGTTGAAACCCAATGTGAACAGGCCAGGCCTCCCCGGGGGATTTTGTAGCCCTTCCCCACCCAAACGGTGAGTTGTATCTGCAAGGGAAGATCGGAGAGATCTTGGAGTGGAAATGTTGGCCCAAGAAAGTTTGCAGAACATCCAATTCCAGTTTTTAAGCAGTTAAACACCTTTGGAACCCGGCCCCATATTGGAGCATCAGTGGAGTCCCTCCAGGTTTCGAGCAAGTTCACCCGACATCCTGGGCCGAAAGGTCTTTGGGTCATTTGTGGTGCAAACTGAATATCCTGCAGCTAGTTGAACACAGCTGCAGCATTCCAGCTGTTTTAGCAAGACAGATGTAAGCAATGGACGGTCCTGAATCTCCCGTTTGCCATTCTTGGCTGCCCCAAATCCGCCCCCCCAGCCTCATTCTGTCCTGGACTCTTCTTTGGGGGGTAGGTGTTGGTCTCCTTCTTTCTTGCAGCCCTGTTTCTTTCAGCCTCCACGCCCCCAGACTCTGTTTGGGCTTGCCACATCTTTCTCTTTCCGTTTGCCTCGCCCTGGGAGGCTCTTTCGCTCTCTCTGCTCCTGTCTCTATCTGGACTTAGTCTCTCTTCCCCCTCCCTCCGTTTCCTCTCCTCCCCTCCTGCCAGGCCACGGATGAGCCCGTCGCTCCCCCGGAGAGCGTGGATGCCATGCTGCGGCCCTTCAACTTGGTCATCCCCTTCGCCGTGCAGAAGGGGGAGATCACAGGTACTGCGAACATCTGCTGGAGGATTGGGGTGCCACGGGGTCCATGGCGCGGAAGCACAGGCTGGCTGGGTGGGGGCCGGGCCAGACAATCTTGGGGTCACTTCTGTGTTTCTATGAGTATTCTTCCACTGTCTCATTTCCGCTCTCTAGTCGCCAAAAATCAGGAGAGTCTGGTAGACCTTTTGCAACTCACAAGTTTTATTCAAAGGCACCAGCTTTCGTGCGCTGCAGCTCCCTTCCTCAGATGCGAATTGTGCTCAGCGGCACCAGCTTTGGTGAACCACAGCTTGCTTCCTCAGAGGCGTGGAGGGTCTTGAGCGATGATCAGGAATAACCAAAGATGGATCACTGCTTGACTCGCAGAAACATCAGGAGGCATCTGTTAGCCTCTTTTTTGGGGGGGAGCCTTTGCATAAAATTTGTCACCAGACTCCCTTAGAGTTGCCTGCGGGGATGGCCCTGTTTCCCTCGGGGTGAGCAAGCCCGTTTTGAAGGGGAACGTTTTCAGCATTTCTCACCTCCTGCCAATGTGGGTGCCCTAATCCCGAGAGAAAACGAGAGGCGGGCTAGGGAGGGAAGAGATCCGCGCTGAGTAAGCGGCTTAAAAGGGGGACTGAGATGGAGAAGGAGGAAGAAGAAGTCTCCATCTGTGGTGGTTCACTGGGATAGCTAAACAGAGCCTCCAAAGCCAGAGCAGTCTACCTCTGCGTCCTTGGGGTGGATTTTCCTCCACCCCACATTCCATTGCTGCACAATGCGCCATTGTTGGGAATGGGGATTCCGCTGTTCTGCTCGTTCCCCTCGGTGCGTTTGGAACACGGCATCTCTTCTTCGTCCGAAGAGCTGGGGGGTGAGCCTGTGGCCGCAGGGTCCTTCTGAGCTGGCTGCGTTGGTGGGGGGAGAGAAGGTGGGGCAGCCCAGAAGCAGACAGCAAGGTAATCCTGCCAGCCCCGCCCAGATCTAGCCCCCCCCCGCAGCTCCCAACTGCTGTACATCAGCCCTACCCCTACTCTAGATGGGGGGCACGGGTGGGTTGGAGTCAGCCCAGAAGTGGGAAATGTTGCTGAACTACAACTCCCAGCCTCCATCATTGTTGGCCAGGCTGGGCTGCTGCGAGTCGTAGTTGCGGGGAGGTTTCCCACTCCTGGCTAGTCCCATTCTTAGAGGCAGAAGCCACCACGCCCTCCAGGTCTCGTCAACCCGTTTTTCTTCCTGCTCTGCAGGGGAGGTAAGGATGCCTTCAGGCAAGACGGCGCGTCCCCACATCACAGACAATAAGGACGGGACCGTGACAGTGAAGTACGCCCCCACAGAAAAGGGGCTGCACGAGATGGACATCAAGTACGATGGCAACCACATTCCAGGTGCGCACCGGAGAAAGAGAGGGAGAACGGGATCAGGGGCCGGATTAATTCCTGGGGAGAGAAACTGCCTGCATTCACACAGCACTCTTAACCCGGGTTCTGAATTCACCCATTCTTGTCCACTGCACACAGCCAAATGAGTCAGCCAGGCTTGGCTCACACACAGCCACCCGGGGCGCCCAAGAGCCGACCCACCCCATCCTAGCACTTTGTGTGAATGCAGTGCTAGGTCTGGGGTTGCCCTGGGTAAGCAGGTGGTGTGAACCCAGCTGTTCTCCCCACCCATGAGAATGTTTTACAGGCATTGGAATCTGAGCTGGAATTTTAGGATTGGGTGTAGACCAGTGTTGCTCAACTTGGCAACTTTAAGATGTGTGGACTTCAACTCTCAGAATTCCCCAGCCACCCTAACCCTAACCCTAACCCTAACCCTAACCCTAACCCTAACCCTAACCCTAACCCT